GGGAGGGGCGGGAGGGGTGGGTGAGAACGTTGAATGGGCTGACATGGGTCAAGGTGCACTGTATTCATAAACTGCTTTGTTAAATGGCAACTCCTTTATACAACTATTTAAAGATACTAATTTTTAAAAAACGAGAAAAAGAACCCTATAAACCAAAATATAATATAATTATGTGATCAAATACAAAGAGATTTATAAGCTATTTTTCTACTCTGAGTCTGAGTACTGAGTCTCCAGAACCTGGTACGTTTTCATGGAATTTTCAAGTCAGACCAGCTTCCCTTCAACTACACGGTGGCCTCCTATGACCAGCAGCAATCGTGCTGGTAACTGTGGTTCTAGAACCTTCTCTTTTACCTAACATGCCACCAGAAAGGACTCATAGAAAGAACTTTATTGCCAGATGCTGGTGGCTCACCTGGCTACCCAGGAGGCTGAGATCTGTGGATCACGGTTCAAAGCCAGCCTGGGCAGGAAAAGTCTCTAAGATTCTTATCTCCAATGAACCACCAAAAAGCTGGGAGTGAAGCTGTGGTTCAAGTGGTAGAGCACCAGCCTTGAGATAAAAGCTTAGGCACAGTGTCCAGATTCTGAGCTCAAGACCCCAAACTGATACCAAAAAAAAGACCTTTGTGATCGTTGAGTGACAAACCCCAGTCCAGTGGCTGAGCAACGTTTTGCTCCACCGCCATCTGAGAGGCAAACAGATGTCTCCCCATTAAGGAGAGCACTGGTCACAGTTTCTGCTCAACGCTAACCAGTATTTGCTCCCAACCATCCTTGCAGATGTGTGTGCCGCAAATGCCTTCCAGAGGTGCACATGGCCACTGTTTGCTGAGGGAATGCACATGCTCTTCTGGGGAAAAGCTCTGGCGGGTGGGACAAGAGCTCGCTCATAGGACTGGGGGGGTTCCTAAGCTTGGGGCATCTCTGCTCAGGGCTGTGACCTAGATGCGGGCATTCACCCCCCCCCAGCATCACTTCCGTGGGACCTTGGAGTCTGGGGCCACAGCAAATGTGAGCACCACTCCTGCTGTGCAGCAGGTGAATATCAGCGGACCGGGATCCATTCTTCTGTCCTCTGCCAGCCCCTGTGGGGCCAGCGCCTCCCTCATTTCCTTAAAAGCCGGGAAACATCTCAGACCCCACAGAGTACTTAGCACCACTGCTCGATGGGGTTAGATTTTGAACTAAGCATCTCCCAGAAAAGAGAACGTATACTTTCAATAGTCAAAGATCAAATCAGTTGATCCACTTGAGATTCAACATTTCCCCAGGATCACCGGCGGCCGACTCCTGCTCCAGTGCTCCTCCCAGCTCCCCACTTACAACCCTCCTCACAGCAATCCTCTCACCAGATTGCTTTAGGCTGTTGTGATGCAGTAGCTATGCGTACGTACCTTTCCGCAGCATTTGGCTTTGTCTATAATCTTCAGTGCAAACTCTTTTCCAGTGGACCTAGGAATAATGAGAGGACCATTAAAGCCAACTCAGGTGTCACAGCATATGCCTGTGACCCTGGGTATTCAGAAGTCATGATCTGGGAAGATGGTGTCTGAGACCAGCCTAGGCAAAAGCTTTCTGAGACTGCATCTCAGCTTCTAGCTGGACACAGGGGTGCGCATGCCTGCCGTCCCAGCAACACAAAGAAGTTGCACAGTTACAGATGTGAGCCATGAACACCCAGGGCCCAGAGCGATGCTGCTCTTAAACACAGTTGGGGCTTACCCACCCATAATTCCTGCTCGATCAGCTGTTATCTGACAGGATGTCTGCAGAAATGAAGTGAGCTGGTACTCGGTGCAGACTGTGAATGAGGCCAGCACAGGACAAAGCTAAGGAGACGCTTTCCTATCTAAAAGTTCCCCTTCCTTACTGGCTCACGAAGGAGATCTCCTATATTAGATATATCTCTAAGTGCCAAAGCACACAAATAGTTTGATGTGCATGCATGTGATTCTCCTGTCACACTGTTTATAAGTGTGCCAAATAGCACATCCCAAGGGTGGACTCTTACAGGGATGTGTGTAGGGGCAGGTAAGAATAAACGAAAAGAGGGTAAGTTTGATCAAAGTGTGTTGCTATGCATGCCTGGAAGTATCAGAGTAAAACCCCTTAGTGCAATTGTTATCTATTAATAAAAATACTTTGACAGAAGAGAATAAACTCAAAGGAGATGAGCCGATCGTCACCCTCTCCTCACCGGTCCATGCACTCTTTGACAACTGCAAAATTGCCATCTCCAATGACTTTCCCAATTCTGTATTTCTCCAGAAGAGTTGAGGATTCGGAGCACCTGTTCCCATTCACACCTGAAAACAGAAATCAAATAAAGTATAAGAAAAAGGCTCCAGGAAACATGGGCATTTCACAGTGATTTCTACATGTTCGCAAAATGATAAATCGCAATGTATTTATTCACCAGTCTCCAGTGAAAACCCAAGAACACCCCTCGGTGCCCTTCCTTCCTCAAGAGAACACCTGAATCACCAATCTCGGGTTGACTTTCTTTGCTGGAGTAGGAAACCAACAAAATCAGTCTCCTGACAAATCCCTAAAATAAATATCAGCTGAAATCAATGATTAGCTCTTGGGTAAAAGGGAAGTCTAACTAGAACTTTCCCAAACTCTTCCATCCATGCCCCGAAACAAGGAAGGGGAGTGTGATGAGGATCAATCTTCAGGAATATCCTGAAGATTCACCTGAAGATGATTTTTAGTAAAGAAATACTATGCAGTAGGATGCGCGGTGGTGACAGGCTGACAGGGATGTGTGTTAAGATGGGAACACTTGTCACAGCATGTTCTGGTACCCAGTGTATAGCAGACGCATATCTGTGTTATCTAATTGAGTCAAAGGAAACACATTTAAGAATTATGCGCCAGGCGCTGGTGGTTCACACCTGTAATCCTAGCTACTCAGGAGACTGAGATCTAAGGATCGCAGTTCAAAGCCAGTGAGAGCAGGAAAGTCCATGAGATTCTCATCTCCAATTAATCACCAGAAAGCCACAAGTAGCGCTGTGGCTTAAAGTGGTAGAACATTAGCCTTGAGCAAAAGAGCTCAGGGACAGGGCTTAGGCCCTGAGTTCAAGCCCCATGACCACCACCAACAATATAAAAAGAATTGTGAGCAAATCATCATTAAGGAAGTTCATACCAATGAGATTGTTCCTGTCTTGAAATGATCCTGTTCTGTCACTCACTAAGACTAATGAAGTTAGCATGTGGTATGGCCATAGCCCAGTTTGGGAAAAACAGGTTTGGCGATGAGCATCGAGTTCACATGGATGATTTCCTGTACCGAGGTAAAGATCAGATTGACAGCTACCTTCAGGACTCATGCAGCGATCAAGTTCCAGTCCACCGTTCACATTGGAAGAAGATCTGCCATGCGTGGAAGTCTGCAGGAGGAGGAGAGGGGCAAGTCTGTATTAGGATACCTTTACACGTCTTCAGCTTCCCAATCCCTGAATAACAGGGTGTTTATGGAATGCAGAAATCTATTAGTACAGAAATAGGGGAAACATGCCCTTCCTTATCTCTTTCTTTATATATAATTGTATTGTATTTCTTTCTTAGACATATTTTCTTTCTAATTTGTTTTTCAGATTTTTTTTTGTTTTGTAGTACTAGGCCTCATGCTTACCATTGGAGCCACACCCTTTCTATTCAGATTTATTTCTAGAAAACTGGCGTATTATTTACTTTCATGTTTTGATAATCTGTATTACTTTTTACTTCCACAAAACAAAGGAGGCTTTAAGGCATCACAGTTGAACAAAATGCTTATTAGTGGTTAAATAAGGCTTATATTTATATTTATTTATTTATCTATTTTTGTTGGTCGTGGGGCTTGAACTCTGGACTTGGGCGCTAACTCTCAGCTCTTCAGCTCAAGGTGAGCATGCTACCGCTTGAGCCACAGCACCACTTTCGGTTTTCTAGTGGTTTATTGGAGATAAGAGTCTCATGGACTTTCCTGCCCGGGCTGGCTTTGAATCATGATCCTCAGATCTCAGCCTCCTGAGTAGCTAGGATTACAGGCATGAGCCACCGGCACCTGGCTATATTTATTTATATCTATATATTATATATATTTCTAATAGCTTCAGATTAAACACCTGGCTCCACAGAGTTCAATCATCTTACTGACCAACAGTAAAACATAATTAATGATCAATTTCAGTATTTGTAGCATTTTTAATTATACTTAAATAGCTGTGCAAGGGAGTTACCATTTACAAACAGTTTATGAATACAATGCATCTTGATCCAGGTCAGCCCTTTCAATACTCTTACCCGCCCCTCCCCAACCCACCTCTCCCCTCAGTCTTCTTAAATTTGTAGGATATACATTGAATTCTTGACTGGTTTTTGTGGTCTTATTTATTTAGACACTAAATTAGAAGGGATACAGCAATTGGTAGAACTCTATAAAAGAATATTTTAAAGCTAGAATGTTTAAAATCAAGGCCCCAGAAAAGAACTTTGTGAGAGTAGAGCTATGGCTCAAGTTGTAGAGTGTCAGCCTTTGGTGAACAAGCTAAGGGACAGTACCCAGGCCCCAAGTTCATGCCCTAATACTGGCACAAATAGAAAAAAAAGCATTTAGAAAAGCCTACAGAATTAATAGAAGTGAGGTCTTCGATATGTGCCTGTATTTGAAAATAAGGCTTTCCTGCACAAAATGAATTGCATAAGAAGATAAGGGAATTGTTCTAGTAAAATGCTGCTGAACAGACATGAGACATGGTGATTTTCCTTTCTCCCGCCTCACTATTGAACACCATCTGTAGCTACCACCTTCATGTTCTAAAGACTGCCAAGATGACTTCTTCCCAGTTCATAATCCATGAGTGCACTGAAGACACCGCTGTGCGTCTTCGTGATGCAGACTTTTTTGCTGTCGGTCTCAGTGGGCAGCGTCCACACGGCCCTTTTACCCCTCAGTGGGGACTGCAGGGGTGGGCAGCCTTGTACCAGGCAAGCCTGCTTAGTGCTGCAGCTCCGCAGCAGACAGTGCCTGCCAGTGCTGCAGCCGCTCTGCTTCAGCTGCTGTACTGTCCTTGGGCTGGTGTTGACCTAGTCCAGGACAGCAAACCATGTGTATAAAGAACTTATTCAGAAGTATTTGTCACTGCCTCCACCTCTGTTCATCACTTGTCTTCCTGAGGTCTCTCTCTCTCTCTGAGTTTGGAGGTTCTTATACCAGGGGCTGTGTTTTGATTGGTTGACCCTATTGTAATTAGATGTTTTGGAAGGTAACATTTTATTGGTCAGGTCCTGCACCATTCTGATTGGTTAATTCATAATCAGCTCCCTTCTGTAAACCCTCTCCCCAGAGGGACAGGAAGGTTATTGAGACTAGAAGGGGCAAGGAGGGGCAGAGGTGAAATGTTTGAAAGTGTATCATCTGTATCTGGTTTCTGGTCCAGGAGTTCTAACTAATTTGGTCTTGGTAATGGTCACAAATGTGCAGGAAAAACCACAAAACAGCTGTTTTTATTAAGGATCAATCTAAGCGGATATCCTCTAATCACTCAGTGTACAATGAAGCATGGCTCTTTCAGAGCAGAAGTGAAGCTGGGTTTTCTCCACACTCTGGAGGGATTGCTGAAAACAGGAAGTGCCTATTGTTGAATGGAAGGTAAAGCCTTTCGGGGAACCTGGGATATATGCAAATGAGCAGTGAGCACGTAAGAGATGCAGCCATGACTAACCAAACTCAGTTTTCCTGGCCCCAAAAAAGAAAATCTTGTATTTTCCTGTTTCTGGTAAGAGAATTTCTCTCTCACTGACTCAAGGATTAACTTAACACCTGAGAAATCAAATGTATTTGTGACTAACCTGGTTTCATTTCTATTGTCAAAATAACAATATTTACTACAATCAAAGCTGCAGTCTTTGCATGTAGCTGCATACCAAAAAGACCTAGGAAGGGCTAAAAAGTTATATCACCAGGCTGCACTCAGATTGATTGTAAGCAGAGCCCACGTATCAGCATGTGTGTGTGTGTGTGTGTGTGTGTGTGTGTGTGTGTGTGTGTAATGCTGGGGTTGTCAGGACCTTGCACTCATTTGCTGGGCAAGCACACTATCACTTGAGCTACATCCCCAACCATTTTCATTTTTATTTATTTTTCAAATAGAGTGTCCAGCCTTGGACCATAATCTTTTTACCTAGTTTGCCACCTTTCCCAGAAATTGGGTGAGATGGTTTTCATTAACTTTTTGCTTCGCTGGCTTTGAACTGTAATCTTCCCAATCTCTAGAATTACAAGGGTAATCCTGCAAGTTGAAGTACCTGGCTGAAGTATCCACAATGAGCTAACACATAGCCCTGGTTGACAATGTCTGGGGAAGAGGTTTCTGAAAGCAACTGTAATTAATTGTCCAGCTACCATGAGTTCTCTGACATTCAAGTTGCCTACAGCCATAGAACAACCTTCCTTTTGCAAGAAAAAGAAACACTTGTGTGGTTTATTGACCAAAAAAAGAGAAAAAGAAAAGATGGCTTCTGATACTAAAGATGAAAAAAGCAACACCACCCAGAAGTACTGTAGATAGTATTTGTGAATAGATTCATGAATAGTTTTGGTGGCTTAGGAATGCATTTAAAAAGAGCAAGCTCTGTCACTCACATACAGTAAGCATCAATGGTGTCACCTGAAATGGTATTTCTGATCATTGGAAGTACTTGAATATGTAAGAAGAGACTTTTTGGGGGGGGCTGGGTTTTTGTCTAGGTATCATGGTTTCCTCCATACATGGCACATGCTGCTAATGGTGGAGACCTCACCATGTGTGTATGCAAGGTGTTGGCTTACTGGACTTCTGCCCGCTAAACATGCATGGCTACACTGTTTGGCAGTCAAGTTTTGCCTATTTCTGGGATGCCAGGCCGGTAGAGCTGCAGCCCCTAGGTTACAAATCCAGGGGTTACTCTCTGGATCTCTGTAAGTCTAGCCACCAGCCAGTGACCTGTACTGTGCTCACATGCTGAATTTCAGGTGGTTCACTTTCACAAATAATGGGACATTCCATGTGTAAATGTGCTATTTCTACTTAAATAAAGTTCTTACAATGGATCCAACTTGTATAATGATTTGTTTGGAAAATCTCTCTCCATCTACACAAAACCAGCTGCAGCTCAGATGAGCCTTAAATCCCTCTAAATACCACACACTCAGTGAGCCTCTGAGCATGCTGGTCCATGTGGAATCTGGTGTTCAAGGTGTAATTTATTATTATTATTATGTGTGTGTGTGTGTGTGTGTGTGGTGTGTGCTAGCATTGACACTTGAATTCAGAGCTTCAAGCTCTTGCTTGGCTTTTTCTGATCAAGGTTGGCACTCTACCACTCGAACTACAGCTCACCTTCTTGTTTTTGCTGGCTAATTATAGACAAGAATCTCACAGTGTGTTGTTGTTTTTTCTGCCTAGGCTGGCTTTGAAATGCGATCCTCAGATCTCAGCCTCCTGAGAAGCTGGGATTACAGGCGTGAGCCATTGGTGCCTAGCCTATGATTTGTTTGGTTAGTCTTCAAAACCTTCATTCTTAGCTTCCTCTTGTTCTTTCCTCGCTTTGCATCTCTTTGCTTCATGTCTAACAAAATCAATTATGTGCGATGATGGAGTTACCATGGGAAATATGGAGGATTCTGGGCCAAGGAAAAGAGCCTAAATGTTCAGTTGCTTTGTACCGAAAATGATTCAGTAGCTTTAAAATATGACAGAGGAGCCAGAGCTTGAGGGACAAGCCAAACTCTCTACGGTCAGCAGCCACTGTGGATTTACATTTCATAGCTTGGAAAAGAAGTTTCCAAGTTCACGAGGTCAAAGAGTTACGTTTCAGCTCTGCCAATCAGGATGAGCTACAGCCTGGGCTTTCATCACACCTTACAAATCTGGACAAGCGTTCACCACCGGCAGACCCAGGAGACCCCATCCGATAAAACATCAGCACACCAGGCGGTTTATCATCTCAAGATGTCGGCTAGCGCTCCACATGGACTTTTTCCTTCCTTCTTTCACCCAACAAGAATGCTCAGAGCAGAGGCCCGCAGCCTCAAACCCAGACATCGCCGGTCACTCTGAAGCCCGAAGTCATGACTGCCTACAGAAAGTCTTCAATTCAGACGCGGATGATGAATGAAAGTTCAGGGAAATGCTTTCTTCATCTATCTGGCAGCCGATGACACATTTAGTACTCTTTATTGCCTCTCTGTCCCCAAGAAAATGCAGTGATTTAAGCAGACGAAGTATTTCTGCAGGGGGGGAGGACTGGGTGAGAGGAAACAGATCACAGGCCAAGGTCAAGGAGAAACGCCGGGAAGACGACGACTCAGAGACCCAGACAAGCTCAGCCTTCAGAGAGGAAAAGAAGAACAGCCAGGGAGAACTCAGACTGAAGAGCAAGAGGACGGGAGAGAGAGACCACAGTGAGGGGGAGGGAAGTCGGTGAGCTTCAGAGAGAGGCTGGGCAGCAGTGGGGTGAGGCACCTCCAGGTGGAAATTGGGGTGGCTGATAGATGAAAATGGAAAGAAGCTGGTGTGGTAGGCAGACTCAGAAATGGCTCCCCGCAAAGCCTCCCTTCTGGATTTTTTTCATGCTCTTCCATAGTTCTCCTCTCATCCCAAAGTGGCTGGGGGAGGAGCCAATCTGACTCCTGACACATTACAGAAGGACGGAGGCCGGCCTCTGAAGTCTGGTCCTAGAATCAGGTGCTTTTGGGCGGTCCTGGCTCTTCAGGATCACTTGGGGGGTGGGGGAGTCAGTCAGGATACCTGGGAACACGAGGAACCCAGGCCCCACACTGACAGCCAGCACTCACCTAACAGTAACAGAAGGAATCACCCTGGAAGTGGAGCCTCCCTTCCCATCAGGCCTCCCGGAAACTGCAGCCCAGTAGATCACACAGCCTAAGCCGCCACCACCCAGCTCTCGGCTTCTAGGAGCCTCACCCACAGGAACGGAGTGAAATAACTCGGATGGTTGTTAAACTGCTAAACTGTGGCACAGTTTCGGTAGTCTTCAAAGACTACCGAGGTTAGTCTTTGGGTTGGAAGATGCATTTGCTGCCCGTCCTGCTTACTCACTGCAACGGGGTCTTACTTCTTTCCCTGGGCTGATGTCAAATCAAGATCCTCCTACTCCCTAACTCCTATGTAGCTGGGATTATAGAGGTGAGCTATTTTAACCAGCACTGGTATCTTTTTCTAAGAGTAAACCAAAGTGGCCCTGAGATTCTATCATCAAGAGAGTAAATGTCATACACACCGCCTTCTTTTTATTTTTAATTCTTTCAGTGGGTCTGTCAGAATATAATTGTCAAAAATGGGATCAAAGAGGGGAAACTGTGACAGAACATCACATTTTTCTTACCTTTCACATCACTTAGCTCAATCCCCCTGAGTAAAACTCAGATGATAAAAACCCAGGGGCCACCCATAGCCGAGTCCCCACACAAAGAGACGTGAGGTTTCCTTGCTCCTGTCAATCCTCTGATGGGTTGGGTAGAGATTACCTATCTCTGGGGCCATTAATGCAACTAGCTAGGATAAATAGTTCCTGCTTGTGAAATGCAGTCTTTCATTGTCAGACATACCCTCGGAATTGATCTTAATAAGCTATTTTAAACAAAGGAAAAGGAAAAGGCATAGCACTAATGCAGAGCAATTATCTGTAATTCTTAATTGGAAATGTCACTGGACGCAATGATCCAAACATGGACAAAGGCTGACCAGAGCATTACAAGGGTACTCAGTACATACAAATGACACGGCTACAAACTGCTGGAAAATAGACACCCCACATTGCTGAGAACTGTAACGAGATGAAATTTCCACAAGGCAGGACCCCTGAGAAAAGCCAATGGCGACAGACCCATGGCTTTGTGGCCCAGCGGATTCCTTTAGCCACTAATAGTTGAGGTAAAATTTGGCAATCTGAAATCAGCCTTCAAGTGAGGAGAGAAGGAATAGACTCTCCAGCTGCTACCTCTGATCCTCCTCCCCCACTCCTCCGCTTCCCTGGTAACTTAGCTGTAATCCTGGCATTTCACAGGTCATGTAAAGTCCATAATCCATATCCAACAAATGGGAGAAAAGCAAATGGAGACTTCCACAGCTGTTCACAATACCTGCAAGAGCTCAGCTGGTAGGCAGGTGGGGCAGGTCACGGAAAGACCACGCCCCTTTAACGGGAAGTTCCTTTGCTCAACAGATGATGCATCTGTTTCTCTTGTAGTAGGAGAAGCAAGCAGGGAGTGCACACGGTGCGCTCTGCGGAGGCTGCTTTCTATAGTCATTAAGCTACACCTCACGTGGAAGAAATACACTTCACCTAATTTTTCAACAACAAGGCACTTTATCATGGGGTTTTAAAGCCCCATGGATCTTCACGCCATAAATATCAGGAAGGGGATGTGTGTCCAGGGTTACTGTGTATTTTCTGGACACAGCAACTTTGTCCAGTCATGAAGCTGTGGTTTCGGCTATTTCCCTCTGTGAGATTTCCAACAAAGCCAAATTTTGTTAGTCATGTTAACATCATGACTCAGAGGAAGATTTTAAAAGAGTTTTGATGGTGTTTTCTCAAGGCTTTTGCCAAGGCCAGTTATCCTGACTGTAATTAGTAAGGTTTTTTTTTTTCCTTTCTTTGTCTGCTTACAAAACAACAACAACAACTGTAGACCTCTCTCCTTCTACTGGTGTCCCTCACCCCACCCGTCTCACTTGATATTTTTATTTTTTGGATGTATTAATTGCACTTTACCATGATATTTTGGATGTGCATATAATATACTTTGCTCAGAACAACCCTCACTATTGCTTTTTCTTGCCCTGCCGTTCCCAGAATCCTCCACTGGTCAACAGCTTTAACAGAGGCTCCTTATACTGTCTTCATACACAGGTGCATTGTATTTTGAAATCATTCACCCTCCATCTTCCCTTTCTCTTCTTCCCTTCCCTTCCTTTTCCTAGGCACTACATGTATGTGTATGTACATATGTGGATGTATATGTAAATCTATTTATGTAGGTGCATGCACACAAGTACATGTTCATGGTTCATGTGGTTTTTAGGCCTACCTACTCATTGTGAGTTAAAATATACAGCATTTGACTTTTTGAAGTTGGCCTCTATTTTATTTAACGTGATGTTCTACCATTCCACCCATTTCCTTTCAAATGACATGATTTTTATCTTCCATGGTATAGACATCCTACCTGCTTTATCCGTTCCTCTGTTGTTGGGTACCTTGGTCTATTCTGCCATTTGGCTAGTATGAAAAGTGCAGCGATAAACATGAGTTTGTTTTCTTCTATCTTGATTTGTACCCCTTTAGATAGGTGCCCAATTGATGAGTTCATAGGTAGTTCCATTTTTTAAAAATCGGTCTATTTCAAAGAATTTCCATACTGAATTCCATAGTGGTTTCACTGGTTTACGTTCTTCCTCAACAGTGTGCAAAAGTTCCTTTTTCCCTACACTCTCACCAGCAATTGTCGTCGACTGATTTCTCAGTGCTTCAAAAAGATACATCTTAGTGTAGTTGTGACTTGTATTTCCAGTTTCTTTATGGCTAAGGACCTGGAACATTCCTTCTTGTATCTATTGGTAAATTTTTAAACTGTACTCATGCCTCCTCCTGCTCCCCCACCAGACAAATAAAACTGTTAAGTTTTAGAATCTGAAATAACAGTCACACAAGTACAACACATGCCCTAATTCATACCTTTGACCCTCTGAAACTTCCTGGGCTGGTTGGAGAAGAGCTGGAGGATTTCGTGGACTTAGGTGTAGAGAGTTGGCTGCTGGGAGTTCCATTAACTAGCCAGGAGACAACAAGAGAGACAGATCATCAACCCCAATGACCAGACTCGGTAAAAAAACAAAACACACAAAGCACATGCATGAGACAGCTCCAAGGGCATTCACGGTCATTGAAAGCTCTAAGCAGATGGCAAGTCAGCAGAAAAGCAGAGATGATATATCTTACTGAGTTACAGACAAAAAACCAAAGTCAGACAGAGAGTGAAATTAACATTATTCTCAGTAATCACTGGCAAACAATGGCATAAGCAAATATATACAACAGTATGGAATTAGAGGTGAGACCTTGTTCATACAATCTGCCTGCCAGAAAAGGTACAGAAGTGACTGGCTGTTATACCTGCTTTGTGATGAAAGTTGTTCTCTAACCTTCAGCATCTTCCAGTACCGCTATCTTGGAGTGCATGCAAACCGATTTGACTCACCAAAATACTCATTTTTTTGTTGTTTTTTGTGTTTTTTTGGCTGGTGCTAGGGCTTGAACTCAGGGCCTGGGCGCTGTCCCTGAGCTTTTATTTTGCTCAGGGCTAATGCTCTACCACTTTGAGCCACAGTGCCACTTTGGTTTTCAGGTGGTTAACTGGAGATAAGAGGTTCACAGACTTTCTTCCCTGGGCTGGCTTTGAACCATGATCCTCAGATCTCAGCCTCCTGAGTAGCTAGGATTACAGGTGTGAGCCATCAGTGCCTACCTGACCAAAATGTTCTATGACTCTCCCAAATTAACTCTGTCATCATCCAAATACATTTCTTTTGTTTGTTTGCATATTCTTTTTTGTTTGGTTTTGGTGGGGAGTACTGAATCTAGAAGCTTATTCATACCAGTCATCTCCTTCCATTTTATTTTCTTCACATCTTAATTAATTAATCAAAATTAATTAATTAATCCAAATTTCCTAGTTATTTATATACCTTCTCCAAACTTCCATAAGTTTTTTCAGCTGAAAGTTCAAATTCAATCCTTCATAAGGAAGAACATGACCCTAGCGTTTAGAAGGTATGGTTAATAAGTAGCATCCTCTGTTGGACAGAATCCCAGTCACATATTTCTGTTATAGCAGGATTCATGCTCATTTCCAATTGTATCACCTATACCTATTTCTACAGCGATTTTGGAACTGAAAGGTAGTCTATGATCAGTATATTATTTCTAATGAATATTTGTAACATCTCTAATTTTAATCTTCTAAATTTTATTCCCAAAGTAGATGAAAACTGCCATTCACTTTTATGGAAAGATGTTTTTTAAACACAAGGGAGCATATGCCTACTGCTTCAGATAATACTGCTAAGAATAGAAAACAAAATGCAGAGGGAAAGGCCATGAATAGGTGACTTGAAATGTGAATGCCAATTCTTGATGGAAGGAAGAAGTTAAAGAAATATTTATAACTCAATAAGTTGCTTTCAAACAGGGATATCCATGTTTATGAATTCTTGTCTATATACTGCTCATTGAAGAATTTGGTAAACCTGACTTTTTCAGTTATTTCTTTTTTTTAAAATTTTTTATTGTGAAAATACCATACATAGGGGTTACAATTACATGGGCAAGGTAATGAGTACATTTCTTATCAAGCATTGTTGCCTCCTCCTTTGTTTCCCTTTCCCATCCCTTCCCATCTCCTCCTCCCTCAGTTATTTCTTAAAGTCAAAAAAAAACTTTAATTTTTCTAACTCTAAACCTCTCACATTATTTAGATTTTTTTTCTCTAACAAATATATGGGGTACTTAGAAGAGTAGTGCAGCAAAAAAAAAAATCACACCATTCATAAGAAACAGAGGGAGGGTATTCCTGTTATTTCTTAAGTTAATTTCAATGAGTTCTGTTTTTAATTAAAAGATGGGGCACAAAAGATTTTTAAGGATGAAACTATGCTGTATGGTACTATAATGGCAGACATACATTATCATTAATTTTCCGGAATCACATACAACATGAAGAAGAGCCTAGTGCAATCTACACATGTGGGGGACTACACCTAAAGCTGCTCTAAAAGCAGTCTCTTAAAAACAGTCTCCTTCAAAGGGATTCCCATGAAAGAAATATTATCGTGGGCAATAAAATACTAAGCTTGCTGAGACAGAATTTCACTTTTTTTTTTTTTTTGGTCAGTTGTGGGGTTTGAACTCTGGGCCTGGGTTCTGTCCCTGAACTCTTCAGTTCAAGGCGAGCACTCTACCACTTGAGCCACTGTGACACTTTTGGTTTTCTGGTGGTTAATTGGAGATAAGAGTCTCATGGACTTTCCTGCCCGGGTTGGCTTTGAACCGTGATCCTCAGATCTCAGCCTCCTGAGTTGCTAGGATGACAGGCGTGAGCCACTGGCACATGGCTTCACTTTTTGTTTTATAAACCGCACCCCACAGGATCATCTGCAGTCACTGGGTCCCAGTCAATCAGCACTGTGGGCTTTCCCTGGTATTCACATAACCCCATTGAGAGCAGAGGCTTTCCTGGACTGGTGCTGGAATGGGGACAGTGATCTTCACATGGCTGTTCCTGACACACACTGTTCTCCCTACAAATCCACCCACTGACTCCGCGTGGTTGCTTAACAAACCTCACTGCCTGCAACACACCTCGTGCCAGTCCCCAAATCCCTCTCGTCTTGAGGAGGGACCAGTCATGGGTGCCTTCTCTGTCTCCAATAGCATTTGGAAGCCCCTGAAAATTGTTCTTGAATAAGAAACCCTAATTCCACTTACTTAGTGGAACTGGCTGAGGGAGGCTGAACGGGACTCTGGGCAGTGTTGGGTGACACCCTTCACCGTGGGCCTCAGCAAGGTAGGCACTGATCATCCAGCATCTCCTCCCATTCTCCTGCCCCTGTTTCCTCCACTGCGCCCTGGCTTCCCTCCTGGCTTCTCGTTTACCTCAAAGGTAAGAAATGAAACTTCGGGGGAGGGGAGGGCCTGTTTTCTTTGAATACTTGAAATTTCTATCGATTTCTAGTCCTTTCTCTCCACCTTACCTCATTCCCGCCCTCCCCAGCGGCCCCCCCCCCCAGGTTTTTAAGATAAGGACTTGTTATATCTCCCAGTTGGCCTTGAACTCCGTGGTTCAATAGCTCTTCCTGACTCAGCAGGGATTATGGGCCTGCAACACTATTCCCAACTCCTTGTAACTTATAAATAGTTATAAATATACCACAGATAATGCAGACTGTAAGAGCAAGTCATGTTCGTGGTAGTGACATCTAACAACCAATCTGCTCCTTCTTGGTGGGCAGGGGATGGGGAGGAGAACAGTACAAAAATAGAATAACATTCTCTAGAATCACAATAAAGTCTCAGCTGTTGATGGAAGAACTGAGCATGCTTTGAACTGCCTTCTTATAACAGCCATTTGCTTTCTGAGATGTGATTTCAAAATATCACAACTTTTACTTCTGAGTTTCAGGCCTACTCCATCTACAGGGATTCTGTTGAACATTTCACACACTGGAATGCTATGGTGTTCCTGAACCAGTCTTTACATACCCCAAATTCAACTTTAAAGGAATTACTTATAGATTTCTTAAGCTCTGTCTTGAAGTGTTGGCTTGAAGGGCAAATATGCAAGTAAAACATTTTTAGTACAGCATGATAACTGTCCTCTTGAACCTCAGGAGAAAAATGTTGAATCAATCAGACCTGATTCTTGAATCTCTCTCCTTTTATTTATTTTACTGATGTTAAAAAGCCTGTAGAACTATCACTTAAAACAAAAGCTAGGAATATGACCAAAACTAAACCTGCCATAAAATACTTCTGGCCATTGTATTCACTCAATTTTCTTACATTAGTTTTCCCAGATTTAAGATAATTTACAGAGAGACTAATACAATTTAAAACCAGGTTGATGGCAGAGGTTTATCTTTAGTTAAAAGCACAGTGCCAACTGTCAAAAATTTAGAGGGCCTGAACATGGAGCCTCAATCTTTATGAAAACAGTCGTGTAAAAACTAAAAGGAGAACAGAGAACAGTGCTGTCTTCTTGTGTGTACAGGAAACACTTCACACTCTTTCTCTGGTCTAGATCATCATAAAAGATTGTGTTTTGTTTTGTGTTTTTGGTGTTTTTTTTTTCTTTTTGTCAGTTGTGGTGCTTGAACTCAGGTTGTTGTCCCTGAGCTTTTTATTGCTCGGGGCTAATGCTCTACCACTCTGAGCCATAGTACCACTTCTGTTTTTCTGGTGGTTAATTGGAGATAAGAGTCTCACAAACTGGAACTGAATGCTGATCCTCAGACCTCAACCTCCAAAGTAACTAGGATTACAGGCATGAGCCATCAGTGCCCGGTCATAAAAGTATTTTGGATTCTAAGTCCTAAACATCCCATGGTCAGGGTAGAGAATAAGGGTAGAAAAGTACTATTGCTTCCATGACCATCTTTGTATTGCTAATATGCTTTATTCTCTTTCAGTAATAGTAAAATTTCCAAAATGTCAACGAGCACCCAGACCTCCCCTTGGGTGATGGTGCGTCCTGGGTCGCTGGGTATCCTGAGCACAGACACAGGCACATGGCAGACTCCCCATGACAACTGTGTCCAATAGAACATTGGACACAAAAGGCTGCCGCACCTGCCCATCACGAAGCATTCCATACTGCACACATGTCTGCTGGATAAGCCAGAAATACTCATGGAAATGGAGCCACAGGAAACAGAAATGCAGTGAGAGACAAGAACAGAAACCCAGCAGCGCAACCAAGCCATAAGGATGCTGGCTCACCTGGGGATTTGGCTGTAGAATAGGCACTGGAGTGGCCAGCCCTCTTTACTGTACACACGCAAATGCACAGAGCAAGAGAGACAGTAAGGAGAGTGGTTATTCAGCAGGTTGAAATGCGCACACAAAGAGAAGGGTAAACATCCTGTCCTGGACAGGGGGGGCAGGGTGCCACCAAAGGGACCTCAGCGGAGGTGCTGTGTCCACAGAAGTCTGTGTAGAGCCTGATGTCTGCACTGGTGCTGCTTTGCCTGAGCCAGACTCTCCACCTGGGTTTTCACAACTCTCCTCATTACTATAAATAGTCACAGAGCACCAATACACTGAGATATTCATTGATACTTTAATGATAAAAAATGTCAAAGCTTCTAAATGATGACAAAGCAATAAGCTTCAGACCTGAAAGGCAATAAATGGTGAGTCTGACTCTTAAAACAGACTAGTTTTGAGCAATAAGCATTGCTGCTATATTATTCTTGATGAAGAAATGGCCAGAGGAAGCCTTCAAGCGCGCGTGCGTGCGTGTGTGTGTGTGTGTGTGTGTGTGTGTGTTTCACATCAATAAGAGATAATGCTAAGAAAATGAATATTCACAATCACTTAGCACGAAATTCAAAAGGCAGTATGACAGTGGTCAAAACGTGAACCAATTCTAGGTGAAAACCCGGAGGACATTAGTAAAGAAGCAATCCTCTAAAAACATGCATCAGCACAAAACTCTAAGAGTCTCACAAAAGACTTAACACTTTTGGAAAACAAAGCTAACATTTGGTTTTTGTTGGTCTTTTTTTTTCAGTTCAATAAATATTATTTTATACGATCAGAGGCACATTGGCCTTGCGCCTTTCTGCTCCTCCCCGAAGCGTCTCCTCCTTTCGTCTCACTAGGTGTGAATGGCTAGAAACATTTGGTTTCAAAAATTGTACCATGTAGACCCTGCAAGCACCGGAGCCTGCTCATGCTGTCTAAAACTACTTCCTACATTTAAAGAAACGGAGGCAGGACCTGCCCCTTGTATGACCGTCTGTTTTTTTGTGTGTGTGTTTTTCTGTGTGTGTTAACTACCTGAAGCCGGAGACTTGCTGCGGCGAGAGGGCCCAGGACTTTTGGATCCAGAATATTTAACAGCTGAGGATCGAGAATAAGAGGACTTCAGGATGCGGCACTCTGCAAAGGAAGAAAAGTGTGGCAGTAAATAAAGCAAAAGGCACGCAACTCATTGTAAATAACTGTTTATTGCCTACAGGTTTGCTATTGTCAACTCTTTTTTTTTTGGCCCAGGAAACAAAAGCAAAAAGGGCATGAGGCATGGCTCAAGGAGTAGAGCACTTGCCTGAGTTTGAATCCCAGGGCTGTCAAACAAAATAATAGAATTCTGACATGATTGTGAATGTTAGGAGCGATGTAAACCATACTTGACAGGTAAATATATATGTCAGTCAGCCTTAACCTCATAAGAATAAGAAAAAGCATATTCACATAGATAGCCTAAAAGGACACTGCACAGGGCCACTTCAGTGGAACTGATCTTAGTCTCTCCATTTGTTTCTTAGTTTTCTGAAACAGAGTCTCACCATGGAACCCAAGCTGGCTTCCAATTCTCTACCTCAGCTTCCAAGTAGCTGAGGCTACAGATATGGATCACTGTTCTTGGCTCATCTTTCTCCAATCTATCAGAGCTCTTAACATGTCCCAACTTACTAAAGCCCAAGCCCAAGCCAGGCGCCAGTGGCTCTTGTCTGTAATCCTAGCCACTCAGGAGGCTGAGATCTGAGGATTGCAATTTGAAGTCAGCCTAGGCAGAAAGGTCCATGGGACTCTTACCTCCCATTAACCACTATAAAACCAGAAGTAGATGGACTTGTGGCCCAAGAGGTAGAGCCTGAGAGAAAAAGCTAAAGGACGACACTCAAGCCCTGAGTGCAAGTTCCAATACTAGCACACATGCACACACGCACACATGCACGCAGAGAGAAATTCATCCAGGCTTTTATTTCCAGGGTCACAAAGATGGTCAATGAATGGCCTTACCACTGTGGTCCAGGACAAAGTCATCTTGGGCGTAACGGAATTTCTCAGGTCCACATGCAATGAAAACGTCATCATCACCAAAGAAATCTTGCAAACAAGTAACCTAACATGAAGAAAAAGGTAAATCACATGCAAGAAATTAGAGACATTAGAAATGAAACAAGACACTTGGCAAAATCAAATACATTGTCAGGTGTCCCCTATGATACAGGTGGACCACACCCCCTTCCCAAGCACTCTACCTTCACAAAGCCCCCCCCCCACGTAAGCGCGCGCGCACGAACGCACGCACGCACACACGTGCATGGGCTCTGAAATCAGAACAACAGAACAAAGGACAAGTGAGGTCAGGACATCCCCAGGCAAGGCTAAGGAGCTGTTTTCTTGAGGCTGTGGTGGATAGAAGCTCCTGCTCTAGATTCAGCCTTCTCTGCCCTTCCTCCTCTTAGCAGCTCCGCTCTCCCAGCCCTGTGACCTTGAGTGTGACCGCATGGAGTCACGGATTGCTGTGCAGATTGGCAGATGAAAACTGCCCACGGCCAAGTATCAACATGTCCAAGGTGCTAACTATCACCATCGCCATTGGGGCAGTCCTGGGAAAGGATGGCCAAGACACTAGGGGAAGGCTTCGGCCTCTTCTGTGACTCTGCATCCACACGTTCAGTGTGCATTTCATGCTCTGTTTGCCAAAAGCTCTCTCCATTCTGCATCAGCATCAGAACCAAACCCGACCCAGGAAGCTGGTCCACGCACTACCCCTCTCTCCCCGCCCTATGAGTGTTCTGCATCTTCCAGACTTGGCACCCAGGCAGGTTTCACCTGCACCCGTTGTCAGGGGTTGGATAAGAATTCTTCTGGGAAAAATGACTCCTCCATTACCAATAGTAAAGTTTTTTTTTGTTTTAACTTGCCCTTATACCAATCAATGTCAGCACTTCCTTATTTCTTTCTCGGCCCTACTTAGCATCTTTTTGGGAAAAAAGAAATCTGAGTCTTGCGACTGCTAGGAGACAATGTGCTCACAAGAAGGCGGCATCTAGACACAGCACAGGGGACTCAGGTCACTGATGGAGTTTTTGGCAACACCAAAAGCTGACTGCCTAGTTAGGAAGGGGAATGGGTGTCGATGTCCATTTCTTCAAATGCTCATCAAGCAAGATATGACTTCTGTACCAAGCCTGGAACTCAGCTCGGTCCCGGTGTAGGAAGTTTTCCAGAAGAGTCCTCTGTGCCTCCACTCTGTGGAGCTCACTTCTCTGCTCTCAAGATAAGTTAGCAGTGAGTGTGGGAGTCATGCTGTCTCCTTTCTCCCCCAGCCCCTCACGGCCGGTTCCTCTGAGCCTCTGAGTCCCCATCTGTACTGTCACACACCTTCTCTCTGGGCTGGCTCAGGTCCTCTCACCCCCAGCCTTCCACTCCACCCTCACCCCCAATGCCCAAGCCCCACTCCCCCACCATACCACACACCAGCCACCAGCCACAGTGGCTTGAATAAGAGCAAAGTCATGGCAAGACAGAACCTAGTGGCTCATGCCTGTAATCCAGGCTGTTCGTGAGGCTGAGATCTTAAGATTTTAATTTGAAAGCCAGCCTGGGCAGACAAATCCAAGAGACTGTCCACTACCAGCAAAAAGCTGGAAGTGGAGGTATGGCTCAAATAGTAGAACATCAGCCTTGAGCAAAAAAGGCGATGGAGAGCATGAAACCCTGAGTAAACCTAAGTACTGGAATGTACTCCCCCCCCCCATACACACTTATAACAGAAGACAGTGGCACGGCAGATCTCCACCCAGCCCTTCCTCCTCTGCAATGCTATTTCTTCCATTCACTCCTCCACCATGTCAAGACTACGCTGGGCTCCTACCTGCGTAGGAGATGGTGGGTTTATTAAACTTTTATTGAGACATGACTCATCAACCTTTTTTAGTATGTTCAGAGTTGTGCAACCATGACCTCAATCCAGTTTCTGATGTCTTCCTTGCTCAAGAAAGGAGCTCTATGTCCACTAGTGGTCACTGCCCATGGCCTCTCTTCCTTATCACAATCTGCTTTTTGTCTGTAGAGCTGCCCAGTCTAGATACTGCACATACACTAAATCACAGAGCATGTGGCTTCTTTCATTTTGCATGCCTTTAAGATTCACTGTGGTTGTAGTGAATATCCTTTACTCCTTTCTGTGGCTGAGTAATATTCCGTGGAATGGATTTACCACATTTCTTTTCTAAGATGGACATGTGAGTAGATTCCACTTCAGTCCTGGCTTTTGCCACCATGCATCTGTCTCTCACCTGGAATCCCACAGTTCATCTTTTAGTTACAGTTCTTATGCACTTTACTTAGTTTTACTGTCAAATTTGAAGTCGATCTTACATTTTGAACTATCTTATTTTTATATACATGTATTCAATAAATGGTTTGAACTCAGAGATTTACTTCCTTGTTAAGTCAAACAGTGGTTTACTAGTTTAATGGAACTTTTTTAGGAAAGAAAAATATTTGTTTTTGCAATCGTGGGAAAAAAAACCACAGTTGAAATGTCTAAGCTATACCTGAATGAATAACTCTTTGGAAAAACAACCTTTGATTATATTCCAAAGAATATTTCAAGTCAGATATGGTAGTTCACACTTGTAACCCCAGCAACATGCAATGAAGGGACCAGAGGGACCACAGTCCAAGGCAGTCCATGCAAAAACATATCAAGTCATCATGTCACTCAGTGAGCCAGGAATGGTGGAGCACTATTGCAATCCCAGCTGTGCAGAGGCTGTAGTAGGTGGATCATAGTCTCAGCTAAGCCCTGAGCAGAAACATCAGAAGGCCCCACCTGAGAAAAACAACTAAAACAAAAATAGAGATGGCTCATGTAGTAGAGAATCTGCCTAGCAAGTGTTGAGGCCCTAAGGCCAAACCCTAGTACTGCAAAAAATGAACAGATAAAGATGTCTGTCTTGCTCTGACTGAATCAGTTTCTCATCACTGAATGCATATTTGGTTACTTAAGTAACCAAATCAGACTTTCAGTTAGGTTCAGCTGTTCCTGAATTTGACATCTCTTTTTCTTTTTTTTTTTTCCGGGTCCAGTCATGAGGCCTGATTTCTGGGCCTGGGCGCTGTCCCTCAGCTCTTCAGCTCAAGGCTAGCACCCTACCACTTGAGCCACAGTGCCACTTCAGGCTTTTTTCTTTTTTCTTATGTGGTGCTGAGGAATCAAACCCAGGGTCTCATGCATGCAAGGCAAGTGCTCTACCACTGAGCCACCTTCCCAGCCCATCTTTTTCTTTTTTTCTTTTTTTGGTCGGTTGTGGGCTTTGAACTCTGGGCCTGGGCGCTGTCCCTCAGCTCTTCAGCTCAAGGCTAGCCCTCTACCACTTGAGCAACAGTGCCACTTCTGGGTTTTTCAGCTTATGTGATGCTGAGGAATCAAACCTAGGGCCTCATGCATTCAAGGCAAGCGCTCTACCACTGAGCTACCTTTCCAGCCCTGAATTCAACATTTCTTAAGAAATATTACCAAGTGGCCAGGAGCCAGTGGCTCGGGCCCATTCCCATCCATTGTTTGTGTTGGGATTTTTGTGTTTTTCTTTTCTAAACTTGGGGACAGGTTCCCTGATGGCTTTCTGTTTTCTCTACGAAGTAGGAAGCAGTTGTTGGCCGAGGGAGGGGTTGGGGTGGGGCAGGTTTGAGAGAGAAAAGTATGGGGTACAATCTGGCTGGGTCCAGGAGGGACTGACAGGGGAGGGGGTGGAATGCACCTCCAAACAGCGCTGAAGGACACTGGAGGCCATCAGAACTTGTGCACAGAAGTCTGCACTTCTCACACTAGAAAGAAGTTGGCCAATCATAGGAAGTTTTAGAAAAAAAAAATCAAACCTTTTTACCTCAGAATTGTTCGCATTTCAAAGGGTTGCATCTAACCAGGCAATGGAAGAGAACTGATACAATGCAGAGGACATTAAAAAAATAAATCAAAGCTTTTGTGGGCTGCATTGAGCAGCCATGAGAACAAGACATCTCTTTGTATTTCTTCTGGCTTGACACAGGAGACCTCAGACCCAGCTGAGAGGTGGGATGGGACTGGACAGGCTTAGCTTGGGGGAGGAGGGATGGGAGGAGTCCTGAGCTGGGAGGGGCCTGAAGCCTGTGTGTCCCAGGACAGGTGGCATAGGAAAACCAGCGGTGGTACCTTGACTACTGATCTTCATGTATATAATTATAAATGAATTCTATAATTCATTTATAACTACTTGTGCTTATTGATTGATGGGCATGTTCTAGCTCCCACAAATGAGGAAATTGAGAAAAATAAGGAAAGGAGCGGATGGAAGCGGTGGTGAAAATGTGGAAGAGGTAACACTGACCAAGATGCACTGTATATGTAAATGACTTGGTGGAGTAGCAGAAGAATTCACTACATAACCCAAAAATTAGAAAGAGTGAGGAAAGGGGCAGGCTGGGTGGGCTGGGTGAGATGTGGCAGGGGTGATGTTGATCAAGAGGCATTGCATTCATAAACTGTTTTATTGAATGGCAACCCCTTTGTATAAGTAAAGATAATAAAAATATTTATAACCGAGAGAAAATGAAACCCAAACATATGGACAGGAACCCATAATAACCAGGAATGGCTGGGAATTAACTTTCTCTCTACCATTACTAGTGTCAAATACAAGTCTCTGTGGTTTTTCCACAAAGTAGACAGAGTAATAATCATCATAGCACTCCCCGGGGTGACTGAACTGTAAATCTAAACACACTAGAAACAGAAGAGAGATGGAAGGTGATGATTCAAAGCGAATGGAACTCAATATCCGGAGAGAGAACGCGCTGACCTCAGTGGTTTCCACTTTCATCACACAGAACTCGTGTGTGTTATTACCTGCACACAGTGTCTGGCCCAGGCCGCATTCACTGGGCCCAGGCTTTTTCTGGAAGGAAGCCAAGCACCCCACTGCTGAGTCCTCCCTGTCTCTCTCACTCTGCCCCCAGTCCCAGAATCCTGGGCTCTGACAGTTGAGGCTCAGTTTCTCACACTTAATCCTTGGAGATCAAATGGAATTGACCCATCTGCAAAATGGACAGGAAACAAAATCCCATTCAATC